GTCCCCCTGAGTGACACCAAATGAGACACCTTATTGTGGAAGAACTGGAGGTTCTAGGGCTCAGAAGAGGGTAGGACTCAGCCCCTGAACCCCGAAACCGACTCATTTTGATTCCCGGGCCACAAATATCGGATTGGAGGTCAAGGGTGAAGAGGACTACGCTGCGGAGGCTCCACCCTAAACCCTAAACCCAGAAACTCGGCCTCCGAGACGCCTCGAATCCACAAAGACCGGCCTTGGTGTCTTCGTGCTGAATTGGGCCTTCGCCACGGATCCTTAAGCCTCCTATAACCCTGTTTATGACAACCCCCCTAACCCTGTTATCAAACCTTAAGCCCTTGTGATGAAAACCTGAATCCAGAAGTCTGAACTGACTTGTAGATTTGGGCCCATGACTGAGCGCATGACCCCTGAGTTTGAGTGGTCTGGAAGCGCAAGGGCTTTAGCACAGGGTGCACCAGCCGAGGATATCCTTAAACACCCTAAACCCTAGAGCCGACCTTCGCCAAACTCTTCTCGTACACAGTGGTTACTTACTCTCTTCGCCTGGCAAAGCTGTCTGTAGATGACGAATGTCCGTAGTGCACAGGCATCAAACCTTCATTGCCACAGCTTGTTCGAGGCTGTCGATCACAGCCACGGCAAACGGAAACCTGCGGCGGCCAGGCTGAAACGTGCAAGATGTCGTCATTCAAAAGTTGCCAGACGGAAAGGCACGACATCCCGTGTGCCGGCAAGCTCGAAGCCTGGTGTCAGTGCGGAATCCCATCTGTGCGAGGAATCTCCACACTTTTTTGCCAGGCAGTCATGCAGGTATATGCCAGCTTCCACGTCATACAGCGAAACCAAATACAACCAGGGGAGCTCTTGACAGTGGTGCAATCGATATCGACGTCGCGCAGCGGGATCCAAGCGGCTGGCGGAGAGGATGCGGCGCAAGCGGAGGAACCGTGCTTCGTCTTTGCCTTCTCCTGAGAACCTCGAGAGCCTGCTCCTTCGTCGTTACCACATTCCGGCGTTGTGCTGTAGTCCAGCAATTCCCGCAGTCTGGAGGGCTTGACGTCCAACTTGGGGGCTCGCGCGCGATGCCCCGATGATGTCGAATCCATCATCTGTCACGCCCAAGCCGGTCTCTATCCGTCCAGGATGCTTGAATCCATCCGTCCATTCATCCATTCGCAGCACTAGGGTTTAGGGTTTAGGGTTTCATTGTATCCGAAGCTCGAACTTTGCACGTCAACATGGTTGAAGCTTGCATGAGGGTTTGGAGTTGAGGAGGTCAGGCCTGTGTAAGGGGTCTTGGTTTTGGGATTGAGCTTCAAGGACTAGGAGCATAAAGGTTCAGGGTGTTTGGGTTGAGGCGTTTGGTGAGCCAGTGTTCGGAAGGACCTTCCAGATAGAGGCGAAGACATTCAGCAATGCCAGGGCCTTGTACATAGATGAGCGGGCACTTCGGTTACACATCGCCAGCCGTCCCAAGATCACGCAATGACAGATAACAACGCACCCTCTTTCCACAAGCCCTGTCTAGCTAACATGAACCAAAATGCGGAGGACTCAGTCCAACCCTTGGACCCGCTCTGCCACCTACCTAACCCTGCCGCATCGCTGGCCTCTCGAGAGAATACCTTCACGCACAAGTAAGACCCTGTAGAATGTATGTCCTCGTTGGCTGCGCTACAAAAAAAGTTAATTAGGTTTGAGGAATTTCTGCAAAAAGTCCCGGATGTAAAAGTTGTACTGTTTACCATGGCCCTGTGCAAAATGCATATGAGCTTCAGGTGTTAGCCCAAACATGCAAAAAGAGCTTAGCGGCAACAAGATTGCGAATACGTCAACCAAAGCCGATCCACAGTCAAGTCGGCGGCGAAGTGCAGCGAAGTGGTTTGCTTGCAGTCGGAGCCGCGATCGAACATTGCAGCAGTGCTGGCAGAGCATGGTAGGTTCGTTGGTAGGTGTTCTTGATTTACGGTTCTGTCTGAGGGGAGAACATTTTTTTTGGGTATTTTTTTTGTTTTTTTGGGGGTATTTTTTTTGTTTTGCTTGTTTTTGTTCCTTTCTCCTTGTTTCGCTTTCTGCTTTTCGCTTGTCGTTTTTTGCCTGTCTGAATTGCTTGTCGGTTTTTGCTTGTCGCTTTTGCTTTTGCTTTTCCTGTTGCTTTTTCTTTTGGTTTTGCTCTTGCTTGTGCTTCTGCTTTTGCTTTTGCTTTTGCTTTTTCTCTTAGCTCCTTTTTGTTTCAGGTCATTTTTTGGCTTTCTGCGTTTGACGGTTGCTTTTGCTTTTCCATGTTTGTGTCTAGTGTATACATGTAGTATATGTGCATATCGTATATATATAGACTATGTACATATATATATATATATATGTAGTATATCTAGTGTAGTTTTTTTGGTTCATAAGTCATATATATATATATATAGTATATATAGGAGAGTATACATGAGATATGTATGATATATTTTATACATATATATATATAGTGCACATACTATAGGTTATACAACGTGTATATGGATATATATATATATATATATATATGTACAGTGTATATAGCATGCATTTTCACACGCGAAAAAATATTCTATGGTATATATAGTGTGTATCATAGTATATAGAGTATATATATATACTAGTATATATAGTACATATATATATATAGAGTATATATAGCAGTATGTATCAGTTATATATATATACATATATTCAGTATATATAGTAGGGCATATAGTACATAAAGTAAAAACGTATAGTAGTATATATTAGTTTGTATATATAGTATATACGTATATATCGTATAATATATATATACAATATATAGATATAGTAATAGTATATAGTATACGTAGTATATATAATATATAGAGTATATATATATGTATATATAGAATATACATATAGTATATATATATATAGCAAATATTATAGCAATATATATATGGATAATATAGTATATTATAATTAGTATATATAGTATATTATACAATAATAGTACTATATATATATATATATATAATATATATATATATAGAATATATACATATAGATATATATATAGCAAATATATAGTATATATGTAACACATAGATATATATATATATATGTATATATATATATATATAGTATATTTAGTATGTATGGTATATGGTATATATAGTATATATAGTGTATATAGTATAGAAAGCCAAGATTCTTTGATATATGCGTTTGACGGTATGTACAGTATGGAAAAATGTGTTTTCTTTTGGTCTTTTATGATATAATATATATTAAGATACACCCTAGGCTGCGCCCTCCCTGCAAAGCGTGCTTCAAGGCATATGAATCTTGTTGAAACCCATCGTGTGAGCATTGTGGTTGCAAATGGGGGGGGCTGCGCCCCCCCCAACCCCCCCGCTTCTTGTAAGCCGTGCAAAGCGGCTTCAGAGCCTATGAATCTGGTTGAAACCCATCATGTCAACATTGTGTTTGCAAATGGGGGGGTTGCCCCCCTCCCCCTCCCCCTAAACCCCCAACCCGCTTTATTTAAGCCGTGCAAAGCGTGCTTCAAAGCCCATGAATTTTGTTGAAACCCATCTTTAGATAATAAGAAATCCCACGAAAAGTTATATGAATCCTATGAAACTGTAGAGGGGATGTAGCTTTTTCCTAGGAAAAACCAAGAAAACAAGCCAAGCAAAGAAGTAATAAGTAGTATGAATCCTTGAGAATTTGGACGGAACGTAGCTTTCTCTCACGAAAAACCAGGAAAACGAACCAAGCCAAAAAGGATAAGTAAGAAATCCCACGAAAAGTAGTATGAATCCTATTAAAATAAAGAGGGAATGTAGTTTTGTCCTAGGGAAAACCACGAAAACGAACCAAAAATAAAGAAATCCTACGAATAATGCTCCTACTACTACTACTACGACGACAACTACAACTACTCCTACTACTACTACTACTACTACTACTACTACTACTACTACTACTACTACTACTACTACTACTACTACTACTACTACTACTACTACTACTACTACTACTACTACTACTACTTTTACTAGTGTTGAGTACAGAACAAGAAAAACAAGAAAAATACCAAAAAAAAACAAAAAGAATCCCTAAATTAATTCCAGACCCAAATTGGAGCCTCGGTATGGCGGTCATCGTAAAGACTCCTGCATGCAAAGAAGTAGGAGGAGCAGCCGGTAGCAGTTAGCTTCGATCGCTGCTTTGTGCCGCCATCATCTCATGAAGCGTAGGTGGCAATTTCGGACTCATCGACGGAAAAGTACGAACAAGATATCTACGGCCCGGCCCATAATGATGCTTTAACCTCAAGCTTTGTGAAGCTCAGGACGGGTTGCATGCGGTTTCATGCGAATCGTGCATAACTTTCTGATGCTGTGTGCATTTACTGCGGCTCTACTAATTCATTACTCCGTGACCATACCATGCCCCAACCCCCCATACGCCCGACATCTTGCCTCAGAAGCAGGGCAGAGATATAACTAAGCCATAATAGGCCACGAAATACCAACAAGGCCGCGGCTGCGAACGGCACGGAGTTGAGGCCGAGTTTAAGCTCAAAACTCCAGAGGGCGCGCGAGCTCCTGAGCATGTGGATCCGAAGAAAAGGAGAAAAAAAGGCGGCACACTCCTCAGGGGAGGGTGTGGGGTTTGGTGTTCTTAGGCGCCCTAAGCACACGGAATCTTGCAGCTCTCCGAGATGTGCTGTGCTCAATTCCCGAGAATCTAGCACTGCAGAGGTTCCAGGTGGCATGGGCTCGTGTGTGAACCAATGGTACGAAGAGCTATGCATACGCACAAATAAGTAAATGAATAGAAATATACATACGTATAGATAAACACATGAATAAATATGGATACGTAAGTATGAATGTCTACATATATATATATATACAGAAAATGGTTGCATGAGTTATATATACTAGTAAAAACGATTGACAGGTGGTTATATGTGAGCAGAGTGCTCCTCGGGGCGCAGCCCCGCTCAAGAGGCACTGGCGAACGTCATCTCCACCCAGGACTTGCAAGCAACAGAGGGGGGGGTTTAGGCTTTAGGGTTTAGGGTTTAGGGTTTGGGGGGGGGGGGGGGGGGGGGGCATCAGGGCTTAGAGTTTATTTAGGGTTCCGTCAAAAGGGCTTCTAGGGTTTCATCCCGGCTTTGGACATTTGCGAAAGTAGCTGACCCGGAAGCTCTGGTGGGGGAGGCGAAAAAGCCCTTAGTCTAAGCCTCCTAAGCCCCATGACGCCAGACCACGACTGGCATAGTCGCCCTGAGCCCTGAACCCGCACAAGGCCTCGAAAGAGGAGCTACACCTTCTTGGATCACAAAGAGCCATGTGCGCTTATCCCGCCGTAACGAGAGGTTGTACTACTCCAAATGCCGACTTCATTAAAGGCGGTTTTAGAGCACGGGGCTTAGCGCGGGAGTCAGGCGTTCAGGCGTGGGATTGACCTTGGGCCTTATAACCTGCGTCGTCGACGCGCCTGGCAACACAGAGCTCCTAGGAGATCATGATCGAGACTTTGATGTCTCGCTGCCGCCGCCTGGAGGCGAGGATGTTGACTTCCTCGCAAAAGTTTACAGGGTGCAGGTGTGATCCCTGAAGACCACGTGCACGGGCCGATTCCAGAATGTTTGTTCCTTTTATCGAGCTCTTTGGGTAGGGATTCCTACCAGGAAGGTTCCCTACAAGGCACCGCTTTGGGTGGGCTAATTCGTGTAGAGCAACTCCCATGTGTCGTGTGTGCTTCAGGACATGCCTTGTTGCAGAGTCTGCGATGTTGTCTGTGAAAGCCTCCGCTCTAAAGCCCCCCAAAACCCTGAGAGTTGCTGGACCTCGCGCAGTTGTTTTCGTAGGGTAGCATAGGCCCTCCGGCCCTAGAGAATTCCAAATGTCAACCTTCGAGCTCCCCGAGGACCAGCGTGTCCCTGTTCTTTGGTGCCTTGCAGCTCCTAAACCCTAAACCCTAAACCCTAAACCCTCTTCTCCCCAACCTTTGCTTGGCTCAGTCTGTGGTCAAGCAGCAGCGTGCCGAGCTTGTCGAGAGAGCCGCGCAGGCGGGCACGTTCAGGTTCTGCGTGCAGGGAACCTATATCCCCCTTAGAAGTATTTTTTGTTTATATGAAACCCAAGAAGATATTAAGAATAATGTTATGTTTATTAAGGTTCTATGTAAGGGAAGTATGGTGACAGCTCCAATCCTTCCTTGGCTGTGCAGGGGGTTGTACTGCGCAATCGGGCAGGTTGTGATGGTTGTGGCCAACATTGGGTCTCCGGATTTTAGTCTCAGCCTCTATAGAAAGTTTCGGGTGATGCTTTCTCAACCAGGAGCAGTAAAGGGGCGTTCTGCGACGAGACGAATAGAGGCTGAACCGACGGGCAAACGCATCAACAGCCTCTGCATAGAGGCACACTTGGAGGTTCAGGGGTGTACTTATATAAGCCACCTAAGTCCCCCCGAGTAGGTTATAGTAAGTAGAGTTATAATTGGGATTGGGTACTTGCCTCCAAGTAGTGTGCTGGAAGTTGCTCCAGCACAGTTGCTGAGGAGATCTTTACAAACAGGCTCTCGACATCCGACACTTCTAGTTGGTTGACCCACGACACTCTACGCGGAAAGTTTTTTTACAGGAATTTGGGAAAACGCATTTCGGGGCTGTGAACACATCATGTGTCAGCAGGGTTGTGTTTACAGGCAGGTCGTCAATCGTCGAGTCAAGTACCAAGACTTCCTTGTCTGCTGCTGACCGTGCAGCGGTTCAGTTTCACATCACCCTGAGATTACGATAACACCTGAACTTAAGCCCCAAATTTCTAAACACCGTTTCAAACACCTACCGAAGACCCATGCATCAAGAATTCCCCCCAGCAAAGCTTCAGAGTTCCGACTCAGCTCGTAGCCTCCTAGAGCCAGTGCGACTTGGTCACTTGTGACCACAAGCCGAAACCCCGAACCCTGAGCCCCTCTGCAACTGTGATTTTTGTGATTTCGGTCCTCTGAAGTAATCCCTGCAGTGTTCGCGTGCTGGGCGGGTGGCAAAGAAAGCACGCTGTCAGTCAACCCCAGAAGCCAGCCTATTACCTGCAGGTGCGAGCGCTGCGGAAGGAGAAAGACCGAGGTGGCCAAAAAGCTTTTAAGGGTTTGGGCAAAGGGGCGGGAGGGGGAAGCCCCGCATTTGGCTCGGCCAGGCCTCAACCCTGAAGGAGCGTTTCGGATTGAAGGTTGGAAGGTTCAGGTTTTGCACATCTACACAAGCCTAGGAGAAACCACGCAGTCAGGTCACCCTAGCTTTCTGTCGGCTAGCGAAAGCTCCCTCACGAAATCCCAAAGGTGAAGGGCTAAGCAATCAACCATCGGTTTCCTGCTAGTGCTGTCAGGTTCCAACGCCCCGAGGGCTTCTAGCCGAGCCAGGGCGCTCAATGCTGCGCGGTGGTTTCGTTATGATTTCCTGTGTTTCGGCTGGAAGGGAAACCAAAGGGAATCCAGAATGATGCAAGAGATTCTGGGTTCAGAACATAGGTGATTAGACTACCGAAACCCGGGCTCGAAGTTGAATATCTTCATGCAGCTTGAGATACGGCTTTAGTTGGTTTGACACGCCGCAGCCAAGAAGGCTTGAGAGGTGTACCCTAAACCCTATACCCTAAACCCTAAATTCAGAAGAGTTGGCGCAAGCTGCCCTGCATGGGCCTTCGCCACTGTTTTCGCCTGTATGGGGCATGGCATAGAACTTGAGCCCACAAGCCTTGACTTGACTATGGATTCAGGACCCAGGCACAGGAGCTACCCCTCCAAAACGCGAAGGCTCTTGAAAGCATGGTAAAAAAGAGTCGCAACGTCCCATGTAGGATGCAGAGCATCGTTTGATTTGATGCGCGCTTCCGGCTCTGTGAGGTCGGGCGCTGGAATCCTGAACGACGGCCAAAGGTGCCACAAGCTCTCATTTCCTCAATCGTTCATACTTTGGAGTTCATCTTCTTTATCCTCCTTGGCAAGTGCTTTTATTTTTGTTTCTATAAAACCCAAGAGGATATTAAAAAACACTATTTTTGTGACGGTTCTAAGGGGAGTATAGTCTTGGTATTGGACATGCTCGCCTTCCGACTGGTCCCAGGGATGTCTCCGCGTCATTGGTGCAGGTTTCTGCTTGGAGTAGCGGTTTGCTAGGGTTTAGGGTTTAGGGTTTAGGGTTTAGGGTTTAGGGTTTAGGGTTTAGGGTTTAGGGTTTAGGGTTTAGGGCCTAGGGTTTAGGGTTTAGGGTTTAGGGTTTAGGGTTTAGGGTTTAGGGTTTAGGGCTCCCCACCAGTGTTGCGCCACTGCAAGCACAACAACTGCAGCGCGCTCAAAGGAACAACCTTTGTGCCTGGACCCCAGATGAAGTCAGAGGCAGACGTAATCTTGCAAACCAGCACAGGTCAACCCCAGCAATTCCCAAGCCGCACGTGAAGAAGGTCAAGAGCTCCACGCACATGCTTCCTTAGCTCAAAGTGAAACATTTAGCCATCTTGGCTTTCCGTATGTTGCAGGACTACGACGGCTCTTAATCCAGCTCGGCCTTTTCATTTCCCTGGCTGATATCCAAACGGAAGGGAGTTCGATCTTCAACCCTACAAACCTAAAACCCGAAAGCTTACCTAAGCTAGGTGGAACTTTACTACAGCTTTATCACTTAGAAGTGTAGGGCTCCTCTAATTTCCTATCAAGGGAGCTACAAGTTAAACCTTTAACTGGGGAGGTGAAAGAGCAACCGCTTTGCAGGTCGACCCGAAGACCGGGAAGGCAGCTGCCGGCATCGCACAGAAGGTCCTCTGCCAGGACCTGGGGTTTAGGGTTTAGGGTTTAGGGTTTAGGGTTTAGGGTTTAGGATTTAGGGTTTAGGGTTTAGGGTTTAGGGTTTAGGGTCTGCCAGCACCAGGGGCAGGTGCGAGGTTACAGGTTGTAGAGGTATACCTCGGTGGTGTTGCAAGGGCTGGAGAGGCTGCCCTAAGCCTAAACCCTAAACCCTAAGCCCGAAACCCTAAACCCTAAACCCTAAACCCTAAACCCTAAACCCCAAACCGCAACCCTAATCCTAAACCATAAACCCAAAACACCCTAACAACCCTGCCAGGAGTATCAACATCCGCTTCGGTCAGTGCCGCCATCGCACAGAAGTCGCGGCCTCAGATGTCGGGCACGTGTACTTTGAAGGTTTGTGAGCGAATGGATAGCTTGATCTTGAGGTTTGTCTAACCCTAAACACTACTTTCAGGTCCCTGACAAGCCTTATGGTCAACCCAAGGCTGAGGGGGCAAGTCGGCCCTGCCAGGTGAGATGAGTACAAGTTTGTTCAAGGTTTCATTTGGATTTAAGTTTTTTTCGCCACCCGCACTACGCACACCACATCAGGCGCCCGCTCCGCAGGGACTATTCGGCAGGATGGTTGGAGTTAGGCCTGAGAGCGGGTCCTTGGCTTAGGGTTTTAGTTTTTAGGGTCTTATAACCCCAAGTGTATCAGTCACCCAGTCACCCATGAACCTCCAAGCAGGGTAGCTAGATTCAGATGGACAGGTTCTCCTGCCGGCCACGAGGCTCATAGGCGACCTAAGGAACACAACTACTCCAACGTTGCAGCCCTGGGCCCCTAGTGTGCTCCCCTACCCTTGTTTAAAGGGATCTGAAGTATGGGCCTTCGTATGTCAAGTGATGTAAGGGTTACACAACAAGGGACCCAAATTGAGGACCCATCACTTGGAACCCTAGAAAGTACTGGCCGAGTGACTGACCGACTTCCAGACGGCGAAGATACCGTACCTCGTGGGTTCTCAGAGTGTGCTGCTTTTTTCACATTTTCACTTATTGGGTTTAAGAGGATCATATGCAGGAATATTTTTCAGAGGCTTTTGAGGGCCACCCGAGAGTCCTTTCTTGCCATGCTCATGTGTATCTAAGGCCCTTGCAACTCGACCAAGCCCTGCATACGCCAGCAGCAGAGCACCCACTGCCACAATAGCTTGACCCGAAGCCTCACCAACCAAATTCAAGCTTATTCGCAGGTGGTGCTGCAGAGATCCTAAACCCTAAACCCTAAACCCAAAGAAACATGGACCCTCGGCCCCTCCCCTAAATCCTAGACTCGATGCCAGAGGTTTGACCCCCAGCTTCAGACCACCTCAGCGCAACAGCTTCGGGCGAGGCAGGGTTTAGGCAAAAGGGTTTAGGGTCTAGAGTTTAGGGTTTAGGGCGCAGTTTGCGTTAGGTCTTTTCTTTCTTGAGCCTGGAAGCTGCTTGGTGCCATTCGGTTTGTTAAAGCCCAAGAACCTTCCCATCTTCATGGGCATTTCCCGGAGTAGGGGCAACCCCTTGCAACCTCCAAAATGCTGTAATCCTTCTTTTTTAGGAATCCCCCACTCAAATGTCCTGTAAGCCCTGCCAAGCCTACTTGGAGGTTATAAGTAGGATGAGAAGTAGGACAGCGGTAGTTAGCTGTACATATCTTAACCTTAAGGAGGCACTTATTACCCTGCTTATACTTATATATATATATGTATATACTCTGTGTTGGCTGAAAATCGGACATACTCCGTACAGGCTGAGAGTTTGTGGTAGAACCATATAGATGCCCTCAGCCCTCAACCCTAAATCCGAAGCCAGTCCAAAATCCCAAAACCGAAGCTGCTTTTGGGTTTACTCTGTTTGGTTTAGGGCTTGGGGGTAACCCTATAATATTACCCTAAACCCTAAACCCTAAACCCTTTTAAGTTTTTGTTACGAAGACCCGCAAAACTTGGGCCTCTAAGGTTGGGCCGTTGGGTCGGGGAATTTTTCAAAGGATCCGCTTAAAGAAGCCTCTAATACCTAATCCTTCTTATAGGAACCCCAACACTCAAATCTCCTGTAAGCCCTACCAAGCCTTGGAGGTGATAAGTCGGATGACAAGTAGGATCTTAAACCCTAAAACTAAACCCTAAACCCTAGACCCTAAACCCTAAACCCTAAACCCTAACACGGCGCGTTGTTGGTGTTCGTGGGGCCATCGGACTACGCTCCCCAAGCCAGTCGCGGAGACAGGAAGCCCCCTGAGCCCCTTAGTAGAGAAGGGGTACCCTACATAATCCCTTAAAGGGCATGTATAGGGGTACCCTATCTAATCCCTTAAAGGGCATGTATAGGGGTACCCTATATCATCCCTTAAAGGGTATGAATAATCCCTTACAGGGTATGTATAGGGGTTGTATAAGCTACCTCATTTTGAAGTGGTGACCTCAAGCCGTTGCAAAAAAACTTCCGTTTGCTCAGGTCGCAGCGTGGGGGCGCTGTCGCAAAAGGTCGCCATCTCATCTGTCTTCGCTTCAGGGTAGGTGACCTTTCTGAGTAGCAAGCCCAGGCCAGTGATGCGTGTGCGTGTTCGTTTGTGTGAGTGAGTGTGTGCGTATGTGCGTTGATCGTCTATGGACGCATGGGAGAGGGAGCTTAGGATTCTGCTGGACTGGGGCTGCATGCCGTAACCCCAAACCCTAGCACACTTCGAATCTTGGTCTTCGTCAGTGTCTGATTCTCTGAGGGCTCACTGCTTTGGGCGTCCAAGGCTGTGCACTGCAAACGTTTGCGGCTCCACAAACTTTCGGAGAGTTTTTGGGGTTTGGAGTGCGAGTTCCGGGCCTTCGAGACGATCGATGTGCGCCCACAGGCTACAGGACTTTCCCTTTGCCTTCCATTGCAAGGCATACCAAAGGGCAGATCGCCAGCTTGCACAAGGCCCGGGGATCACAGGACATAGGGCCTTTAGTTTAGAACCCCTTTTGGGGCTTCGTGTCATTTACATTTGTGCAGGGTGCACTCTTAGAAACTTAACTATGATGCCTGGGATTTGCATGGAGGTCGGCCTGGTACACTTCAGGTCATGTTCTACTTACTTGGCCCATTTACTCGCAGTCAGTTTAAACGGCTGGAAACCAAGCCCTATAAACCCTAAACCCTAAACCGGTCGGAGTTGCAACTCGTACTCTGCAATCATGTACTCCAGAATAGTCACGGTCAGGACGATCAATGTGAAAAGTGGCAGTGTGGACCTTGTCAGTTCACTTCTGGCGGTCCGACCTACCGAGAGGGTGCAACTTGCCTTCATGAAACCCCAAACCCTAAACCCTTAACCCTAAACCCTTAACCCTAAACCCTAAACCCTAAACCCCTGTTTGCAGCAGGTTGCCCCTTCGTCTCTGCCAAGGTTCGTTGCCGTTGGATGCGATGTTTGGGGGGCCGTCGCCGGTCCCGAAAAAAATAGAATTAGGGTTTCGGGTTTAGGGTTTAGGGTTTAGGGTTTAGGGTTTAGGGTTTAGGGTTTAGGGTTTAGGGTTTAGGGTTCAGGGTTCAGGGTTCAACACTGCTTTGTGTTACGAACCTGCGTTTGGCGTGCTCGGGCTCGGAGCATCACTACTCTTCAAACCCTACATAGACCCTGAGCCCTAATTCAGGGGGTCGGGATAATTGCTAAAAGCATTTCCTCATGGTCCCTTTTTAGTATACTCGTGGACCCCCCCAAACCCTATCCTAATTATTAAGGCCCCTTTTTTGGTGGATCTCAGCCGTGCCTTCAAGTAATTTGGGGTTTAGGGTTTAGGGTTTAGGGGTTCGGTTGTCGAAGCTTACATGCCAAGTCGCCTCGGCCTCAAGCACACCGTGAGTCGAGTGGGTTCCTTGCAAAGGGTGAAGTGAAGTCAAACCCTAAACCCTAAACCCTAAACCGTGTTGAAGGCATCTCTCTGCAGGAGCACTGGCTCAAGTTTGGGTAGCCCTAGCCGCTGAATTCAATGCAACAACGGTGACTCCCTGATGGAACTGGCTGGCACAAATCTAGCCTTAATGAACCCCAACAGGACGCGGGCACAGGTTGCAGCCGCTCTCCTGTCTTCGGGGATCATGCCTAAACACAAATGCAGATAGCTGATCATTTGTCTGTGGGGGGGGTTTACGAAAATAGGGGACCCCAATATAAACTAAACATAAGGACCCCAAAAAGGTACCCCTAGTTTCGTAAACCTCATGTATTTGTGTGCGTGTCACCCTAAACCCTAAACCCTAAACCTCAAGGTCCGACAGCCCAACATCCCAAACCTTCCGGCCTTTGGGTTCATAGGCTTCAGCTGCCCCTGCAGGACGTGGCCCATGAACCCGATGAGACCTGGCAACTGGAAGCCAGCAAGCCTCAAGAACAGACTAATGTGTTATACGATGTAGTACATAATGCACAATCAGTATGTGTTTTGCCAATAAATTAAACAGTTATATAAATATACATACACATGTAAATACAATAATACACATATATATATATACATACATATAAATATGTACAATAATCATAATCATCACAATAGCAGTATCAATAATCATAGCCCCCCTCCGCCCCTGTGCTCCCTTAGTTGAGGGTTCTTCGGGCTTTTGGTGCTGCATCGCAACATGAAGCATGACCCCTCCATGGTGAACTCACAGCGCGGCTCCTCCTATGTGGGGAAAGGGTCTCAGCCCTAAGGGCATGTAACGCTTTGAAGGATATGAAGTGTTTGAGGGGTCCTTTCCCAGTTTGGAGAGCTTTTGTTTCGCCGGTCCTGCTTATTCATGTTCAGCAGATGCCAAAACACCCCCGGCCTGCCCTGCATCACTCATTCCGAATTCCAGCTGTTGTCCAAACAAGGAAGGTTTGTGGCTTCGGGCTGATAGTTCTTGTACTGGGAAACCCCAACCCTATACCAGAGCCTCTGAACCACTCTGCTTCCCTTACTGTTGGTGAGCAGGGAATGTATAAGGGAATTAGGGCCCCTGTATATACCCTTTAAGGGATTATATAGGGTACCTCATTCCCCCATTACCTACTAAGCAACAGTAAGTTCTCTGTCTTCCTAAGGAATTATCCTTGGGATCAAGCCGCCGCCATGCAGATGAACCAGGCAGAGCGCACTAATCGTAGAGGCTTTGGTTTAGGGTTTAGGGTTTAGGGTTTAGGGTTTAGGGTTTAGGGTTTATGGGATGTGAACCTTTCTTTGAGGTGTGATGTAGTTCGGCTGCAGGGTGTTCAAGGCATTGAGTTGCTCTATCGGAGGGACGAGGGTCTTGAGTTGGTGCTGGAGCACATCTGCCGTGAGCTTGTGGCACTGGTGTGGCATGTTCGTGTCTTCACATTCAGCGCGGAAAGCACACTGCGTTGCCTGTCACCGGGCTTCGCGGTCCAAGCCGACCCCTTCACAGTTCACCTCGCAGATCAGTATTCCACTGCAACTGTTGGGGGTGTGGTGACAAGTTCAGTGCGAGGCAGGCAGCCGCATGCCTGCACGAGGTAGCAGTGACAGGGATTGGGGAAGCTCCTTCTGTCCCTTGCAGGTCAACGCGTTACGGAACCAGATGGCGCCACTTGGATGGACGAACTTAGGACGGAGCTTGCAGCATCATAACCCTATAGCTCTGAACACTTATTCAGGTAGGATTTAAAAGTAATAATCATGATAATATTGATAATTACAAAATAACTATTGTCAGGAGTCACACAACAAGCTGTTGCCAGTTTGTCACTAGACACGTCACTTTTCGCCGGATGCTGCCTCGCGGCTGAGAGCTCGACAGCCCTAAACCCTAAACCCTAAACCCTAAGGGGTCGGAAGAAATACTACTGGGCTCTGTTGGTCTGCTTCCCCCAAGCGGCTCAGGTTCCCCATGGCGGACCCGATGGGCCCACAGCAGCAGATCCCCTCCGACCTAGAGTCGTTCCTGCGCGACACTCCTGCTCCAAAAGGGTTTAGGGTTTAGGGTTTAGGGTTTAGGGTGTCAGTGTTCGAAAATTCCAGATGAGACGGGTGTAAGGGGTCTTCCTGCAAGCGCAAGATATGGACAGTTGCCCTCAATCCCCCCACTTCACATGGTCAACCGATTCTTGCTGCGGCGCTCAACTAACCCGAAACCCTAAACCCCAAGCCTCGTAGACTTCATAGGGTAAATCTATGCGGGGCGGGGCTACTATTTCAGGAGGTGGAGTCTGTTCAACTGTTGGGCACTGTTGGGGCTCTCTGGTGGTTGTTGCTGCTTGGTTTCGTGTCAGAACAAAGCCCCCTCCTGCGCAGGCAGTCACGACCTGCTTGGGACCCGTTTTTTGGTTTAGGGTTTAGGGTTTAAGGTTTAAGGTTTAGGAATGCTGAACCTGGAAGTGCATTTATTCCGGAATTTGCTTGCAGGATTCGCGAAGGTTGGATGATAGTGCAAGTATGCCATGTTGTCATTGGGTGGATTTGTGTTGGGTTTGGGGCTGCAGTTTTGGGCGTCGTGCGACAACTTTTGGTATCGATGTGGCTAGGTGCTGTTTCGAAGCTGAGCAAGCACGCTCAGGGTCTCACTGACCGCAATGTGTGTGTGTGTGTGTGCATGCAAGGAAGAGGATGAATCCCCAGTCTTGGTTTTTCTTCTCATATGGGTATCTCGTCTCATGTTTACAAAGTCGGTGTGACCGATATGCCGCGAGGCCGTGAAGGCAGAATCGTGGCAGATAAACAGTTCAGGTAACTTTGTCACGACGAGGGTGTGTGAAACAAACAGTCGCATCGAGAGTTGTTTTCACTTTGGCATCCATACAGGTTGTTTTGCTTTGTAACGATTTTGGATTGTCTGGTGTGGGTTCCCGATTGTGACGACAACCTTGTCGCTGCTACAAAGCTGTGCGGCGCGTGCTTAAGGGACGTGTGGAGATGGTGGTTATCAGGAAGGTTGGCTGAAATGTAGCCGGTGATGATGCTCAAACCCTGCCTTGCGATTCGGCCAGCTATGTGCGAGTAAACCCTAAACCCTAAAACCTAAACCCCTAAACCCTAAACCCTAAACCCCTAAACCCTAAACCCCAAAGCAGAAACCCGAAACCCTAAACCATGTCTCGTGCCTTTGGGAAGTTCAGGTTTTGTGTCTTTCCTGTGTGGCCTGCATGTCCAGTTTTCCAGGCTTGAGGCCTGTGAGGTCTTGTGGCCATTGTGAGATGGGGGTTCCGAAATTGGGGTTTAGGGTTTAGGGGTACCTTGGTGGGTTCCTTAGTGTAAGGAATTCCTACTATTCGGGGGTCTATTTCGGGCTAAGTGTAAGGAATTCCTACTATTCGGGGGTCTATTTTCGGGCTAAGGAGTTCCTACTATTTGGGGGTCTATTTTCGGGGTTCCTATTTTCGTAAACCCCCAGATATGCCTCTGTCTATGGCACCCTTTTCTCCAACATCCTACTTATCACAATAAAACTTAGTGCTGAGGGCACCGGCAACTGGCATCAAGTTTGCAATGCGTGTAGCCGGAAAATCTCAAGCTGCAAGAAGCCCAAAACCCGGGGACCATTGCATCACATATCTCCATTCCGAGAGCCTTGCCAAGCCTTTGCCGCCATCACGAATTGGAGTCAGATTCCGAGAGCCCCGCACTATGAGTTGGGACCCTAAACCCTAAATCCTATAACCCTATAACCCTGAACACTTATTCAGGTAGGGTTTTTTTAAAATAGTGATGATAATAATAATAATAATAATAATACAATAATTATGATCAATAACCCTATAGCCGGTAACATCTTGTGCTGTAATGCATATGAACATGTCTTTATTTGTTTGGTAGTTATATTATCAGTAGTTTTATTCATTTCTGTTTAGTTTATGTATGTACAGAAATGTATCTCATATCCGTACATATCTGTATATATATATATGTTTACATAACTATGTACGGTATCTTCTTTATATATTTCACGAGCTTTCTCGTCCTCTCGTCGCCTGAAACCCTCTTCTCTCGGCCAAGGAGATCTACAAGAGCACTCAGCCCACGCCGCAGGAGGGTTAAAGACAAGTAGCGCCGGGGGGGGGGGGGGGGGGGGGGGGGGGAGGCTGTTCTACCCAGCGTCTTTTGCGACATCGGATTCCTTGTGAGAAGGACGTCCCAACAAATCTAATTTAACAGCAACCCTTGGGTTGAGGTTCCTTCGGATGTTTCGGTTTTCACCGAGTTTGGGGAGTTGAAACACAGGCTTATGAGTTGCTACCTGAAGCAGCTGGACCGACAGTCACCAGGGGCTTCCAGGGCCCCGAAGCTGCAGGGGAAGGGTTGAGGGTTTAGAGTTTAGGGTTTAGGGTTTAGGGTTTAGGGCTGTAGCGCAAGTGTGGTGACTCCCGAATGCCTGGGGCTCTTCGGACTTCGAAACCCAAAACTTATCACAGAG